CCGATCAGTACTGTCGCAGAATTGGTTTTCTTTAAAGTTGTGACAATTAATTCGTTGTAGTGGCCAATTGGCGTGACCTCCTTAGCAGCAGGAATCGATTGGCATTGCTCTTGGGCGATTTGGACCACTGGAACGCCATCTCCGACCAACTGGAGCCCGTCGGAGAGTTGCAGGTCATCAGAAGTGGTGATTCCTACAGTGAAATCTCCTGATTTTTGGTGGAGAGGTGGTTCTTTGGTGTGGAGAACGATCTCTACGGCTTGGAATTGCAAGATTGAATGGTTAAAAATTGAAGAATTGTCAGATATGTGGGTTGAGTGGAGCTTTTGAGTTTGATTTATCAAAATTTTGGTTATGGCTTTAATTAAGCATAAAAGATGAAAAGACGGGAAAGGAAGAAGAAGATAAATGGAGAGGGGTGGGGGTAGGGTGGGGGTGGGGAGATAGGGGCGAAGATAAATGGAGGGGGTGGCTTTTATCTAAATCTGACCCGATGAATTTTTCTATTTTTTAAAATTAATTATTTATCTTTTTTTTTTAATTATTTATCATATTCACACGCTTAATACCGGTGATTAACACGCAATTGGCCACATCAGCTATAATATTGCCACCTAAGCATAGTCATCGGTCAAAGGTGTTTATTAGTAACATTTTCTCAAGTAGAGGTGTTCAAATGGGAAAATCTAAAGTTCGTGTATCGGCTTTCAAAAGCCCTACAAGTTTAAGTGGCCAGGAAGCCATTTCGCCTAGATAATATGATATTAGATTACATAAGTTAAGGGAGACAAAATTCACTTGATTTAATTAATCATGAGAAAAACTCACTTTGACTTTAAAAAAAATCTAATATTGAAGAAGGAAGAGAAGATGCAGGGTCCGCACCACTCGCTTTATGTGGGTCCTACTGATGGAGAGGCTTATGGTACTTTTTTTGAAGTTGGAAGTGATTCAGCACATTTGAGATATTGCCTCTTGTTTCTCGTTTCTTTTTGGTTCACCAATTTATAGAAGATTGAATGTATTTTGTAGAGAACTATATTTTTGTGTAGGCTCTTTACCCTTTAATATACTTCTTGTGTACGGGAATTTTCCCACAATATCAAATTACTTTATCTTATCAAAAACTAAAAACAATCAAATAGTTCCTTTGTCTTTCCCTGGAACTGTATGCTTATTTGCTTAGTTTTTTGGGATTTTTTGAGCCTTAATCAATATATGGAGCTTATATCCTTGTACTTCATTATAGTTTTTATTTTCCACTCTAGCGTGATCTTATTAATCATTGAATTAATTGGTATCTTAGCACCCTGATAATGAGAGAAAAATGGGACTTCAATATGATAAAAATGAGGGGGGAAATTGTATTTGAATTCCAAAGTTGTGTCGACTTGATCATGTTATGAGCTTGAAGATGTTGGACCAGGAAACTGTAAAACTTTATAGTCGTTTTACATTTGGTTTACCTGAATTAGCAAATGTCTTGGGTACATAGGAGAACGCCTTTAGTCCTTACACTTCATAGTTGGACCTCTTGAAAGATTTGATTACTATAGCTCTATGCTGCTTTGTAACATGCAAAAGCCTCTTTCTTTTATAATCTAGTTTTACTTCCATATCTAAAATATTGTCGTCAATTCTTCACAAACGGTTGGTTGGTCCCTGTTTGGTATATTCTCTTGCTTGTTTCATCACCTGTTTTTTTTTTCAGGCTGAAGAAAAGCACTGTGAAATTCTTGGTCAACTTCTTTACACCGCAAAGCTTGTTGCTAAACAGGAAGGTCTGCTCGAGAATGGGTTCAGACTTGTGATCAATGATGGGCCTAGCGGATGTCTGTATCTTGCTTCCTGCTCTCCTTGTTTCCAGTTAGAGTTGCATTTAAGTGTATATTAACATGAAGATTGTTTTGTCAGGCCAATCTGTTTATCATCTTCACCTTCACCTTCTCGGGGGACGACAGATGAACTGGCCACCCGGCTAAAGGAAGCCGAGATGAATTCCAGATCTCATGGAGTATCCATACTTCATCCGATCATCTATGTGTAGCATTTACTGAAAACACTTCTGTAGCATTTGAAGAACCAAGCTTGTCCTATGCTCCTATGAAGACAAATAGGACTGATTCTGACTATTATGTTGATCATCAATAAGAGAGATTTCTCTGAAACTCTTACATAATTCCTAATAATTTATGTGGTTCAGATGGTGTGAGATAAATATTGTGTAAAAAGCTCATCATGTTGGAGTGAGACACTAGCGGAATACACAAAAATGAGTTAGAGGGAAAGTTACGTTTCTTTAAGCTGGTCTTCACTAGGTAAATTAGAAAGCTAAGCATGGGCTTTTCAAAGTATTGCGTATTCTCCTTTTGCTTATGGCCATTTGAGGACCAGATACAGGTATGATGGTTACTACAGAGTACAGAGCGTACCTTGTTAGTGGAGTCAAATAACCACTTGGATATTTTTTTTCTCCTTACCCTAAGTTTTAGTCGGAGGTGGTAGATATTCGGTTAATTAGTTGAGGTGTGCGTAAATTAGTTTGTACAACAACAAAGGAATACCCTTGCGTTTCGTTCTTCTTTGGCTCGTTGTTCATTGGACAAAACGTATGCTCTTATAAGATTGCTAAAACTACAGGAAATTGGGAGCTTACCATTAGTTAGCTGGAACTTTTCCACGCACTAGTTTATTTCTGAGAATGGTGTTTTGTAAACCATCCTTCATTCTACCTTTTACTCTCCTTTAACATAATCACATAAAATAAATGATGACTACTATAAAATAAAAACAAAAAGGAAAATAAGATTTTATAAACTTCCCGCGTAAGTTTATTGCAGAGCAACAAAAAAAAAAGTGTTAACTTGAATATGAAATTGAAAACGCATTACCTTCGTAACTTCCTAATTGAAGCCTTGAATAACTTCCCTGAGTCTCCTCTGTGTTTGATTGCTCTGAAGCAACACATTTCCTAATCAACACTTAGAAGCCAAAAACTAAATGAAATATTAAAAGTGAAAATAGGATACAGCGTGGAGATTTATCTATTTATATCACAGTTTTTGAATAAAAACAAATAATCCTCATAAGCTGTCTATTCGTTGAGTTTGTGTCACGTATTTATCTTATGATGTACACATCAAGTAATTGATAGAGGTTTTAATATATGAAGTTGCTGGTTAGGAAAGTGCTTGAGCTATCTCTGAGAAATTTCTCTTGTTGATGTAGATGTTACGTGAAAGAAAACGTGCAGTTTCATGTCCCATCAATACGTAACAAAGTTGGCAAACCTTCATTTGCTACAAACTAGGACCATTCCAAATATTCAATTTATTCTCTATACCATAAGCTATGTCCCAAGAGGTTGAAACTCGATTATGTCACCATCTCCCAATTGACACACTTCTATTATTACCACATAAATTTTCATTATTTTATCATAATAAATCACTTTTGTTTTGTGTCAATTAATAGTGTTACATTACTCAAAGGCAGCCTAGTCAATAGCGAAGTCTGTTTTTTCATTAAGGGGTATCAAAATGTAAAGAAGTAAATACACGAAGAAGTCGAGAGGATTCAGTACATAGTATATACACGTAAAGAAATATTCTTTACCTATCTAAACAGTATAATATTCTGGTAAAGGGGTGTCAATTGGCACCATTTGGAGCTATGTGGCTCCACCACTGAGCCTAGCGAATTAAAATCTCGCTATCCGTGGAGTCAGAGTAAAAGCCGGACCATAACGAGTCAATTATATGCAACCTTGACTTAGAGGCGGCTTAACCCCAAGGCCACTAAAGCGGCCGCTTTAGGCCTCACAAACTTAGAGGCCCCAAAAGCTATTTTTTTAATGTATAATCTAAATATTTATTGTATTTATTATTAAATAGTGATAAAAAAATTCAACCATCTTTTGCTACCTTGTCACCAATGTTAATAACATTAGTTTTATATTTTATATTATCTTTTTTCGGAGTTGGTTGAGAAAATTCAAATGCAAGTAAAAGGCAATTAAATCTGCAGCTACTTTCTAGTTTTTCTTACTCCAATTAAATGAAGTAACATACTTAAAAAGGTAAAAATATATTTTATTTTTCAAAACAAATGCCACATATACCGAAAAAATCCACGTGGCAGGCGAGTGCACCCACACTCTTTGCCACATCAGCGTCCAGGGGGTAATTAAGACCACGAATAGTTGAGGGAGGTAATTAAGACCACGAATAGTTTAAGGCTGTAACTAATAATCCATGTCAAGTTAAAGGGGGTTTTAAGGTATTTTACCTAAATTTTATTTACAACTCTAACTTTAAGATATTTTCTTTCAAGATCTCTGTAGGCACGCTTCAAGCTAATTAGATCGTAAAAAGTTATAGTTAATTTATTTATCATCTTTGTAAATATAAATTTTCACATGATTGTTACTTTGGGAGGCAATACTATATAGTGAGTAATGTTGACGGTCATGTGATAAGAAAAAATTTAAAAATAAACTTAATAAAATCTTACTATCAAAGGTTAGTATGTTTCAACAAAGATTAAATGGGTTGGTTACATCGTCAAGATGCTCAAAAGTAAAAAGAATAAACTTCACCAAAAATATTTAAAATTATTAAACAAGTTTAAGGCCTCTTATTATGTCTTGGCTTTAGGCCTCCAATAGCATTCATTGAGCCGCCTCTTCCTTGACTTACATTTTTGCACGAGTTTGTTTGTACAGCTTAAACTCATGACTTTCTTATTGCGCTAACGGGAGTTTTATACTCAATAATAAAATATTATTTTCCATGAGAGCGGAGAAATCTTCCTACAAAACTTTAATTTAAGAGAGGGAAAAAACTAATCGCGTGAACAAAATGTCATTGCCACCTCTAATTTCTTAAAGTACAAACTCAGAAATGGCAACACATAAGCAATTAATGACTTCAAGAAATGAAACTTTCAAGCAATAATAATGAAACTTTCAGTATAAATTTGCACTTGAACCAACCCACAAAAGACCACTTCAACATTGAGAAATCTACAAACTGAGAGAGTTCTTGTATTCATTAATTACTTGTCAAAAAAATGGAGAAAGTTGGTAAAAAACTGGCAGTTCTAGTTGGCTGCAACTATGAAAACACACAATACAGGTTACATGGATGCCATAATGATGTTTTAGCCATGAGAGATGTGCTCGTGAATCGATTCGGGTTCGATTCACAGCACATTGAACTGTTGATGGATAAACCAGGAAGTCCAGTGATGCCTACTGGAGCTAATATCAAGAAAGCACTTAACAAGATGGTTGATCAAGCTGAATCAGGGGATGTTTTGTACTTCCATTTTAGTGGCCATGGAACATTGATTGGAAAGAAGAAACAAGACGAAGCCATCATTCCTCTCGACTTCAATTATATCACTAGTAAGTTTCTTGATCTTATCTAATCTATAAACTTGATGAAGAAAGTAGAATTATTTCTTCGGCAAAGGGTCAAATATATCCCTGTACTATGAGAATAGGTTTAAATATACCCTTCGTTATACATTTGGTTCAAATATACCCCTACCGTAATACTATTAATTCAAATATACCCCTCTTCTATTAAGTTTGTCCAAGACTCCAAGGTGGACATCCAATGGCACTGATATTTGATGAGGTGGATGCCACATGGCATGCCACCTCAGAGCCCCTAATCCATATATAAAAGACTAAAAGTTGAAATACAATATTTTTCATGGTAGCGGCAATGGTGGCAATAGTGGTGGAGGGAAGGTAATTTTAGTGGTGGAAAAAAATTTAGAAGGGATGGGTAAAATGGGTGACGGGTGCTGAGGTGGCAAGCCATGTGGCATCCACCTCATCAAATGTCAGTGCCACATAGGATTGGATGTCCACTTTGGACAAACTTAACCGAAAAGGGTATATTTGAACTAAAAGTATAACGATAGGGATATATTTGGACTCAAAGTATAATAAGGGGCACATTTAAACTTTTTCTGATAGTACATGGATATATTTGGCCCTTTTCCGTTATTTCTTTCCCCTCAGAGAAGGCAATGGTTAAGAGGCAGAGGTAAAAGATAACATTATCTATATTAAGTAAAGTTAGTTCACATGGAAATAAGGCAGATAACTTGTTACAACATATTACAATAATAATGTGATATCTCTTTACACTGACAGTGTATATATAGACATTTCATGATTTTACAATCTTGGTAACCTTTAAAAACGTGTATTTTGCAGATATAGACATTCGAAAAATAGTGAATCGGGTACCAGAAGGAGCAACCATCACTATCCTTTCAGATTCTTGCCATAGTGGAGGCCTAATAGACAAAGAGAAAGAGCAAATTGGACCATCCAACAAGCCAAAAAACCAAGCAGAGGGAAAAACCATTCAATCATCACAATCTTGCAAGCCTAGATTCATCCCTCATGAAACTGTCTTGGAACATCTCACATCCTTAACAAACATAAATACCTCAGATATTGGAACACATATGCTACAACTCTTCGGAAATGAAGCCAGTCTTCTATTTTGTTTGCCCCAAATGGAGTTGGATTTGTTGAAGCCTCTTAAACAAGATGAGGGTATTTTGCTAAGTGGTTGTCAAGCTAATGAGGAATGTCAAGATGTAGGAGGAAGTGAAAATGAAAACAAAGCTTATGGGGCATTTAGCCATACAGTTATAGCTGTGTTGAAGAAACATTCTGGCCCTCTTAGTAATAAAGAGCTGGTCTTAATGTCAAGGGATGTTCTGAAAAATGATGAACATATTGAGACTCAACATCCTTGTCTCTATTGCAGTGATGAGAATGCTGAAGCAGTTTTCTTGAGCCAAGGATGAAAACTCAACAGCTAGTGTTATATTTGAAATATGATGACAATTAATAAAATAAATGATCAATAAATTAATAGAACTTCCTTTAATCTCTCAAGTAAATACCAATTCACTGAGATGTGGTAGTTTATCATGATTTAAAGGAGCTATTTGTGGTAGTGTCTCAATTTGAAACTTATGTTAATACTTTTAGATTGAGGCAGTTCAAAATGATTTTATATAAATCACTTTGAATATTCTTACTTAACCAATGTAGAACATTATCTCTCATCCTCCTTTAAGAGTAACTCAGCATTTTGTTTTCAAAACATGGACTTTTAGCTATATAGATTGAAGTGTAGGGATAAAACAAATAGTCTAGTGGACTTATAAATGTTAAAAGTCAGAAGCCCCTAACAACATATAAGAGATGGCTCAGAGCACTTGAAATTTTTAAAAGCGAAAAGTCATACAATGATAAAATGACTTGAGAAAAGAAAAGGAAGAATTAACAAAGAAGTATACGAAAAACAGACTAGAAGAAATAGACACGAGGCAACAACCAATTTTACCCAAGTTTGGCTCCACAAGCATGAATTAAAGCTGCAGATAAAAAGGCAAATAGCTCAAATGACATTCTTCAAAAGGTTACTGGTACCTGAAGACCTATAGAACTTAGAGAATTTAGTAAGACTAATTACAACAGCAACAACAACAACATACCCAGTGCAGTCCCACAAGTGGGGTTTAACAAGAATAATTGTTACATCAAAAAGAACAATAGTTAAATTCTGTGAATAACGGATAAAAGGAAGTGAAAGTTTCTTGAGATTTAGAGGGTGTTTGGATAAGCTTATAAGCTGGTCAAACTAGCTTATCAGCATTTTTTAGCTTATCTAGGCATTTGGTAAAGATTAGAAGTGTTTATAAGCCAAAATAAGTCATAAGTCATAAGCCAAAACAATCATATTATTTTATCCCTAATATTTTTATTTAATTGTGAAAATTCCTTTTTAAAAACAAAACCCCAACCCTCCCTGCGATTTCACTTCCTAACCAATTCTCTGAAACCTAGAACTTTCACCACCTTTTCAATGTCAATAACAATATTCTGCAGATTCTCCTTGTCATTATTTCGGGTGAGAAAGTTATTCCTTTACTTTGTTAAATTCTTTTGCATATTGTAGAAAACTAAGGAGATACGAATTGGATGGCAATTCTGATCTGATTGCTCAGAAAATTTATTATCGTTGTAGGAGTATGTTTTAACTTAATTAGCAGCAAACAATGGGGCAGGTGTGACACATCGCGTACGCCCTAGATAATATTAGGGATATCAAATGCAATAATAAAGCAAAATGAAACTAAAACAAGACAACAACATACCCAGGATTATCCCACACTGTGGGGTGTGAGGAGGGTAGTGTGTATGCAGACATTACTCCTACCTTGTGAGGATAGAGAGGTTGTTTCCAATAGACCCTCGGCTCAGAAAAACATAAGCACCACATTCAAATATTCAAAACATGCTGCATATATAAGCTTTAAAAAGGGTGACTGATCAACACATATATCTACTTACCATAAGCATGAGGCTTATATAAGTAATATATAACAAGATGGCAGATGCAGAGTACAAAGTTTACCTTTGTTACTTTTTGTTTAATGTGTTATTTACATCTATTTCATTTTTATTTTTTTATAACTCTCCCAGAAACTCCCCACTTTACTCCACTGGTGACTCGAACACAAACCTCAAGGTTGGTGGGAGGGTGCTTGCCACTAGACGAGCAACCCTCTCTTGTCAAAGTTTACCTTTATTACTTAATGAATTTCTTAAGCCTGCAAAATTCCACCTTTCTGGTTCCATTAATTCCGTCCCACACCAATGCTTGAAATATCTTTACCGCATCATCAGTATCCCTGGCTTGAAAAGTGAAATAAAACCATGTCCCAGCAGCAAATGATGCATTTACCTTCACAATTTCCACGAACTCATACTCTTTAGGCTAAAATGAAAACAGGCAAAAAAACTCAATTACAATCAATATTAGCTTTAGCTTTCATATGATCAAAAGAGTAAAGCAAGCACTTACATTCTGAGAGTTGAAAATTCCAATTACCAAGTTGCACAGCTCAGTGTATATCTGTTTTTCTTTTGGATTCTTCAGGTAGCTCCGTAGTTGTGCAATTGAAGCCATAAAAGAAGCACCTGGGTGGACAGAGATATCAAAACCCTACCACACAAACAATTACAAAGTAACATCAATGATAAGTAGAAGGCGACGAATAATAACAAAGCAAAGCACACAATAATAGCATACGTACCAACCTCGCCCTCATTCCACTCCCGGTAATACTGGTTCCAGACCTTGCGATCCGCATTGGGACCGTCCACAATTTCAAAAGTCAGAATCGTCGGAGTCGTAGATTATAGCGTCCTCGCTTTCGTCGGAATCATATGAATCATCAACTTCTTCTTCATCCATACTCTCCTCTTCCTCTACCAGTTCTCGTTCCCTCCCGCTAGAAGGAAATTCGCATGATTTACAAGGGATCTCCCGCTCCGCCATAGCAGCCGAATTGATTTTGCCTTAGCCGGAGAATCCTTTTCACTATTTAAATCCATCTCTTTCAACAACAAAAAAAAAAGGGGTTCCAAAAATATTCTTCAAAATTTACTGTCCATTTTGCCCTTCACGAAAATAAAAATTACCGGCCTCCTACTCTGTTTAAGATACATTAAAGTAAAATAAACCAATACACTGACCAACATGACTCTTCGTTCCTATAAAAAAATAAAGAAGAATTTGAGACCCAATTCCAAACGTTAAATAATCAAAATACATTTATGAAATAGATCACCAAATAAATAACTTTAACTTTATTTGACTCTAAAAAATTAATTAAATTATGAAAAGACACAACTATAAGTAAAAGACACTATTCAAATAAGTTATTTAATGATATAATATTAAACTACAATCGTATATTCTTAAAAAACCATTTATGAAAGGACACAACCATAAGCAAAGAGACACTCTTGAAATCAATTGTTTCAAAATTAATCCATGCCTTTATCAAACGTGATGTTGGTTAGGGTAAAAAAAGATGAGAAATTAGAGCATGTAGATGGAAGTACAGGAATACGTACATTCCCCTAACTCTCCCTACGTATGAAGTTTTCAGGTGGGATTGAATTTAATTTATAAAGTAAAGCAAGACATTATACGTTATTTCTTGAGTAGGAAAAAATAGGTACTGATTTTTTCGCATATACATGCAGTTTATAACTTGACACTACAATATCGATTAGGTAGTGAGAAAATTGCAAGTAGCAATGCCAAGAATTTATGTGGACAGACCCTTGCATCGATTTGTGCTTTGTACATGCAGCTTGTACCTTGATAATTTATGTCTGCTTCATTTTCTGACTTTATTTTCACAAAATAATATCTTCAAGTATCTATCCACACCATGAATAATATGACACTCTTATTCTTTGATTTTATGGCTTTCTTTCGTCATCAAGAATGACTCCCTCTGATTTTTATTTTTGTTTCTTTGTATCGTTATGAAGGTGCAATTGAAGCATACAAAAAATATTGTTCGAAGTTTGGTGCTACAGGAAAAGGTATATACAGATTTGACTTCATTTCTAATCTACTTCTCTTTTTGAAAATCCTTCATAGTCATCAATTTCGAAAGTGTTCATAACATAGAAATTTACTACTATTAGATAATTGAGGTGAGAATATTTTTGGTTCGTTCATCTCTATTGTTTGGTTTTTCATAAATACCACTTTAATATTCCGTATGATACATCAGTTGTAAAATTATTTAGTTAGAGAAGTTAACTTAGGCATTATATGCACATAAGCATTTTGGCCAAATGAATGTATTTCGAAACTGCTTCATAAGGTTAAATCTAAGTCCTCTAGCTTTTATTTTAACTTATTCTGGTATCGTTATTAATTTATAAATTTCCAATTATAAGTTTGAAAATACTGATGTAATTGCAACATAACTTATCGAAAACTATTTTATGCATCAAGTATTATTTTGTATTTGAGAAACTAAACATGTCGAAGATGGAGGAAATAAAAAGGAGAACAAGAAGCAACGACGATAATTGGATATTAAGAAGATTATATGTCCTCTCAATTTATGTTTTACTACACCATATTTTTACAACGAACTATTAACAATTATTATTACTTACATGAGTTATGTTAGCATTTGTACAATAATCTAGAGTCATATCAGGTAATTAAGCATGGACGAGGTTAGTTCATATGCGTAGAATTACCTTTATAAACTTACTCATACATTTAAATTAATTGTTTAATTACTTATATTTTTTGTGTATGTATTAATGTTTATATACTTATTCAATTTACTAACGGGTTAATCAAGAAGGATATGAAAAGTATAGTGAATCATAAATCAGATCACTAGCCTGTTAAAGAGCCATGAAGAAGAAAGTGGCAATAAAATCGGATTTCTACTTGTTTTACCTAAAGTTTTTACCCTTAGTGATTTATGAAATCCAACTTCTACAAATATTAAACCAATTAAAATCCAACGATCTTAAAAAATATTTTATTGGCATGAAATCAATTTGTTGGTACATAATTTAGTAGCATGCATGAAACTATGTGAAAGATTGTTTTTCAGGTCACAAGACGTAGAATATTATATAAAAGCCACCTTTTTTTTGTTTTCTCCAAAATTTATTTCTTAACAACCACCCAATACATAAGTTGACATACACGTGTAACGCACGTGGCGAGAAACTAATTAGATATAAGAGATATAAGAGTCTAATTTTTTAGTGATTTATATTCCACTAAACATTAATATGACTCTACTGAAATATATTTGGCAAGATAGCCACACCTATGAAATATATTTGGCAAAATAGCTGGAACAGCTGTACTCGATCAAAATAAATGTTTCGGAGAAGGGCCAAACATACCCCTTATTAGGAGTGGCAAACGGGCGGGTCGGGGTGGATATCCGACCCGATCCATATTTAATACGGATAAAAAATAAATTAATCGGCGGATAATATAGGTTACCCATATTATCCATGACTTCTTGTATATAATCACTTTTGGGAGAATTCTTAAAATAGTCACGTGTCCTGCTATGATTTGCCGCATTTTTTTAGTTCAGAATTAAATTAGACCCAACCATTTTTTTAACGGAGAAGGGTTAAATATATCCTTGTACTATTCAAAATAGTTTAAATTTATCCTCCATTTTACTATTCATTCAATTATAGCCCCACCGTTATACTATGACACTGATATGCCCCTAATTTAGACGGAGGGACACGTGGCAAGCTCACAACCAAATAACCCACTACCAATTTTAATTACCCACCCATTAATGTAATCCATACCCAAACCCGTTATTTCCTTCTACACTTGAATATACATAAGTTAGGTTTTGTGTGTGTGTGGTGTGTGTGGGGGTGGGGGGAATTAAGCCCAACTCTTCTCCTCCATCTCTTCAAAACACCCGACCACTCACTCAATAATTTTTTGTACGGAAGTAAATTAGAGATCAGGACAAAGAAATTGAAGAATCGTGAGGTGGAGATACGCATGCGACACTATTTTTGAAGTTTTCTTAACGAAGAAATTGCCAGAAAAAAATCAGAAATTTAGAGCAAAAATTAAAGATCATTTGAAACATGTGATTAATTTATACTGCTACAGAAGTACTTCAAAAACTTAGTGAATTAATTATAGATCTATCCTACTGAAAAATCTTCAAAAAAAGCTTATTTCTTCATCAAATAGATCTGTTGAATAATCAATGAGTATGGAAAAACATAAATGCAAGATGTATTCAAGGAAATTCTCAAGTGGTAAAGTTATGGTGGTCAGATGAGGTCCTATTTGAGGACTCTCCCACTTCCACCAAAAATTCCGCCGCAAAAATAAGAGTACGTAGCCAGTCAAATCTCTCACTCTATTCCTTAAAACAAGAAGAAGAAGAACAACAAATGGGAGAGAAGTCCTCTTTCATTTATGGGCTAAGAGAGAATCCAAATAAAAGTTTTAGGATTATAGATCCTGAGTTCTTGCATGCCGCTGGGTCAGTTGTAGTACATCACAGCGACAGTGAAACTGAAACTAAGTTTTAAAAAAAACCCAACTCGGAGGAGATTCAAGAGAACCCCGATGAATCTTAGGGGTCTGAGCTTGCCACGTAATAAGTGAGTGTGGGTCGGGTAAGGATTACATTAATGGGTGGGTTTGTAGAGAGAACCGGGTAATTAAAGTTGGGGGTGGGTTATTTGTTTGTGAGCTTGCCACGTATCCCTCCTTCTAAATTAGGGGCATATCGGTGTCATAGTATAACGGTAGGGCTATAATTGAACGAATAATAAAACGCAGGATAAACTTAGACTATTTTGAATAGTACAGGAATATATTTGACCCTTTTCCGTTTTTTTAAACCCACTCTACTCCTGACCCGTTTTTAACCACCCTTGAACCCTCGATCCTTCCCGCGCCCAGATTAGAGTAAAAGTGAGTGGTCATATTGTATTATTGGTGATCGAATAAGTGCCTGCGAATGGTTTTGATATTTCATTTTCATAAGCAAGGCCCTATGCCTACATACACCAAACTGCAAACTCCCAATAGGAACAATGATAGAATTTTGCCTTAATTTTATGGAGCAAAGTGCGTCGCTAGGACTGTCTTTTGTGACAATAGTGGTAGTGTCAACATTTCCGGTAAGGCATGATGCAATTTGCAAATTGTCTATAGCAACATGTTCTCTATCTCTAAACAAACCATTTTATCTCCTTAAAATGAAAGATCGGTGCTTGAGCACACAGAAAAATGACATCCAGCATTTATTCTCTTTGCATGTCAACTAAAATGACTTCTCGTGAATCAGGATGCAAATTCTGCTCATAACTCCCTAAGCGACATAAATGGTGTCCAGTGTCTAAAGGCCATCTGATAAATATATACCGCAGAAAGATATCAGTGCTGCATTTGCAGAATAAATTTGTATCGTCGTCTATTGGTCTGCTGGTTTTGCATAGTTTTGGATTATCAATGACCCTATCGAGGTGCCTTTTCGATTTTGGAGGAATAATAGACACCCCAGAAGACAAGTTTTCCTCGCCAATATTAGCAGCATGAGAAAGAGAACCTACATCACAGTATTTACAGCTATTATGCCTATCTGGTGCAAGTTATATCACTACTAGAAATCCGGAAAAAAAGCAACCACAAAAAGCGACCAAAGTTGGTCGCTTACAGGTCAAAAAGCGTCCAAACTGGCTTGGTCACTATTTTGCTGGTCCCTTTACCTTAGTGTAATGACTCGGCCGGTCGTTTTTGGAATTTATGCCCCGATGCCCTATTAACTGTTTTCCCCAAGTTTATTTCTGCTATTTTGATTTGCCGGGATGTTCGGTTTTGAGTTTCGGAGAGTTTTGGGACACTTAGTCCCTAAATGAGAGCTTAAGTGTTAGAAAATTGATCATAGTCAGAACAGTGTGAAGACGACCTCGGAATGGAAATCCGATGGTTCCGTTAGCTCCGTTGGGTGATTTTGGGGTTAGGAGCGTGTTCAGATTGTGTTTTGGAGGTCCGTAGCTAATTTAGGCTTGAAATACCGAAAGTTGAA